CCGCTAAGAGCGGTCCGATGACTTTGACTTCGGAAAATAGATTTCCTTTATTTTTTGTGTGTTGAAAGGCATTGGTATACAAGTGTCCAAAATAAAGTTATTTTTTGAAAATTCTTTTTTATGGCTTCGCTAGACGCCGAAACTCATTTTACCCGTGCAGAGCTATTTTCAAGCAAAATCGAAGGTTGAATTTCGGTAAATTGTAGAGCCGCGCTGAGTCAAAACGCCTGACTATTTCCAAATTTCAACTAGATCAACAAGTTAAGATACAATTCAGGTTCCCTGTTCCAAAAAATAAGAGCATTTGAATAAATCGTGAATAAACGACAGCAACTTGACGGCGCACCGCTTTTTGCTTCTTGTTCGGTCTACAAAATTACACTAAAATCGAAGCCTGAGATCTCCAAATGGGGACCTAAAATTACGCTGAAATGTGCTTGGCTGTAATGATTTATACTTATTTTCAGAAGATCTGAAGAAAAACCTGCGGGTATCAATCTGTATTTGGCGCGAGTTAAGATTTTCTGGAGCCCATAATCAATGATTTTGCATAATTTATAGCTAATTAACATATTTCTTGAGAGGCGCTAAAAGTAAACAATTTCTTTCTCACTAACATATCTCAGATGAAAGAAACTACCACAGCTAGTAAAACCCTTTTTGTAAATATAGTCGTAATATTCTTTTCCTGACACGCTGAGAGAGCTTTGTTTTTTAATGTTATGCCACATTCATTCAGTCTGACCAGATTCATAAATGTCACGAACTTGTATATTTCAAAAATATATCAGAATTCAGAAAGACCAATTATTCTTTCCTTGATTCAGTTGATTGATTTAGTTGATTGATTTAAAAAAACTATAAGTATAATAGTACATTCTACGTGTTTCCATTCCCCCTAGGCCTAGAATTTTTATCAATATGTTCTATTTTTCTGTGGCGACGGCATAACAAAATACGACACAAAAATGTACATAGGCCTAGCTTTGGACTAGATTTTTGTAGTGTAAACGCAGTTCGACCTGGCCTAGGTCAGGAAATCTGGGCCATCAGAACAGGTGTTCCACATTTCCTAACCTATATATAGGCCAGGCCCAAAGTGCGTTTACACTACAAAAATCTTGTCCAAAGCTAGGCCTAGGCCAGGCTTAGGCTCGTTGTGTAAACACGGCTTACGACCGACTTATCAAAATGTTATTTATGAAGTTTGAATTGAATTTACTTAACGCGAAATAAATACTAATAAAAATAGGAATTTTATATGCTGGGTTAGTAAAAGAAAAAGCAAAATTTTAATTGTATGTAATTTCGATGAATACTATAAAAAAATCATACGCATTGTTTATATAAGACATATAAATTAGCTAACATTTTCACATTTATTACGATAGTAGCGACGTTTGTTTTAGCCATGTAACAAAATAAACTATAAGCATTCTGATCAGTTATTTAATTAACAAAAATATCATATTTGTGAATTTTAATTCACAAACTTTTGAAATTTATTCTCAGCTATGGAGCTCACGAATATATTTTTTTCAAAGAAAAAAAAATTGAAATTCGATTATTTATAAAATTGATATTTTTGTTAATTAAATAACTGATCAGAATGCTTATGGTTTATTTTGTTACGTGGCTAAAACAAACGTCGCTACTATCGTAATAAATGTGAAAATGTTAGCTAATTTATATAAACAATGCGTATACTTTTTTTATAGTATTCATCGAAATTACATACAATTAAAATTATGCTTTTTCTTTTACTAACCCAGCATAGAAACTTCCTATTTTAGTATTTATATCGCGTTAAGTAAATTCAATTCAAACTTCATAAATAACATTCTGATATGTCGGTCATAAATTCGAATGTACATTTTTGTGTCGCCACAGAAAAATAGAACATATTGATAAAAATTCTAGGCCTAGGGGGAAGGGAAACACGTGGAATGTTCTATTATACTTATAGTTTTTTAAATCAATCAACTAAATCAATCAACTAAATCAATCAACTGAATCAAGGAAAGAATAATCGGTCTTTCTGAATTCTGATATATTTTTGAAATATACAAGTTGTGACATTTATGAATCTGGTCAGACTGAATGAATGTGGCATAACATTCAAAAACAAAGCTCTCTCAGCGTGTCAGGAAAAGAATATTACGACTATATTTACAAAAAGGGTTTTACTAGCTGTGGTAGTTTCTTTCATCTGAGATATGTTAGTGAGAAAGAAATTGTTTACTTTTAGCGCCTCTCAAGAAATATGTTAATTAGCTATAAATTATGCAAAAATCATTGATTATGGGCTCCAGAAAATCTTAACTCGCACCAAACACAGATTGATACCCGCAGGTTTATCTTCAGATCTTCTGAAAATAAGTATAAATCATTACAGCCAAGCACATTTCAGCGTAATTTTAGGTCCCCATTTGGAGATCTCAGGCTTCGATTTTAGTGTAATTTTGTAGACCGAACAAGAAGCAAAAAGCGGTGCGCCGTCAAGTTGCTGTCGTTTATTCACGATTTATTCAAATGCTCTTATTTTTTGGAACAGGGAACCTGAATTGTATCTTAACTTGTTGATCTAGTTGAAATTTGGAAATAGTCTGGCGTTTTGACTCAGCGCGGCTCTACAATTTACCGAAATTCAACCTTCGATTTTGCTTGAAAATAGCTCTGCACGGGTAAAATGAGTTTCGGCGTCTAGCGAAGCCATAAAAAAGAATTTTCAAAAAATAAATTTATTTTGGACACTTGTATACCAATGCCTTTCAACACACAAAAAATAAAGGAAATCTATTTTCCGAAGTCAAAGTCATCGGACCGCTCTTAGCGGGACTGCCACTTAAGTCCTTCACGACTCGTGAAACATTCCTTACAAGTTGTAACGAGTCGTGAAATGCTGCTGTATTGGACAACCATCACCGTTTTTACCGCTACGATTCATGTTGATAAAATCATAGTTTTCAAGTTTGAAAAGATCCTCATTATTATCATTCAGCCACGTCTCAGTTAAACCTACTATGTCTAATGGTATGTTTACAGTGCGTCTACTGTAAGTGGGGCCACTTAGAGAACACTAACCAATCGCGTTGCAGAACAGAAAGAAAAATCTAATCAAACTAAAGCTCGTCCAATCAAAAGAAAGATTCAGGAAGCCATTAACTGCAATGTTTACTTTTACATGTCTATTTTTACCGTTTGACATTCGTTTATTTGTTCGAATTGTTTTTGTCCTAATGCTGATTGGCTAATGCGCCGTTTGTTGATTTTTTCACTTTCTGTTCTGCAATGTGATTGGTTAGTGTTCTCTAAGTGGCCCCACTTACAGTAGACGCACTGTAATGATTTGGATAACTCCTTGAAAGAGTCAAATTTATTAACTATGCTTCTTGTATTTAAGTGTAACATCGAAAAGCTTTCGTTGAGATTCGCCTTGTTGGGAAGTTTATTGAAATCATTTGGTAAATAATATTCACAGTTGTTTATTATTGGTTTTTCCATATTTGCGTTGTTTTCAGATAGTGCAATATTATTAAAACGAGAGTCGAAAAACAAGGGTAAATAGTGTTAGCCAATCAGCGCGTTTGTTTACATTTTGCGTCCTTGACCAATCAGAATGCCTGAAATTCGAAACATATAAACAAAAGGAGTGAGAGAATAACACCATGTTCTACGCCCCTCGTGACATTCGATATTAAACTTTTTACTCCAAAACTGAGAAATTCTGATAAAGCATGCTTTCTTCTTTAATTTCCTCAGGGGGATTTTTTAAATTCGATCTAAACTGCGAAATATTTATGTTTGAATAACAGTGTTTTAACGCGCGTAAAATAGTATACTCTCACTTGCACTATCTTAACACACACATAAACAAATTGGTAGAT